CCGCGAAGTGATCTTTTCAGTAGGGGGAACAGGAAAAAGTTGCAGGGGACCATGTCTGGTGAATACGGTGCTTGCGGAGCGACATTCTTTGAGTATTTTGTCAGAAATTCACGCACAAGCGTCGAGATATGCGATGGTGCGTTGTCGTGATGCAAATCCACGAGTTGTTTTTCCACAATTCCGGTCGTTTCTTACGGATTGTGTGCTGGAACGATCCAAATGATATTCCAACTTCATCTGCTATCTCTCGCACAGTCAATCGACGATTTTGGAGCATCAATTCTTTCACTTTCTCAATGTGAGCGTCATCCGTTGACGTTGATGGTCTTCCAGAGCGTGGGTCGTCTTCAACGGATTCTCGTCCTTCTTGAAACTTCTTAAAGTACTCACGTACCTGTTTCCGATAAACAATCATCGCCATGAACTTTTTGCAACATTTTGAATGCGTTGGTGAACGAAATTTCGTTCGCAACACAAAATTTCAAACAAATTCTTTGCTCCATATTTTTCGACATCATGATGCACAACAATCTTCACTGACATAAACAACTACCACTTTCAAACGGCTTGAAGGAACGCCATGATTTTTTCACCAAATGTAAAGGACATGTGTACCAACTTAAGAAAGCAAACGGATTTGATTTACAGTTTACTCGCGATTTTGAACAAATAAAGTTCGGATACTTTTCGATCGACAGTAGTAAGAGAAAAACGAGCACGCGCGGCCGAGTCGTTTTCGGTGTCGAATAATAATATTAATAAATAGCTTATCCGCGGTCGCGCTTTCGCGCGTCGTTTTTCGCGGGAACGCGCCCGGTTTACGTTAGCGGGGCCGCGTGTCGCGCGTGACGTTTGTAGGTTGCCGCGGGATGAAATATCGCGCCTGCGGTTCGGCGCGGCAGTATGTCGCGCTCAAACATTTTCTACATTCATAACGACGCGCGAGCAATTACCGGCCAAGTCGCCGGTGATAAGTACCCGGCTAAAAGCATAAATCGTGACTCATGACACGCGCCGGTCTTCTCCCTCTCATTGTCAGCGTGACGCGCGCGGCGGCGGCGGGCCGGCCGGCCGGGCGCGTCATGTGGGTACCCATCTAATATCAAAGTACGTACGACCATGACAAATCCCAGATTACCTTTCGAGGATAACAATACGGGCGCGGGCGGGCGCGCGCGCGGTGGTATGTAGAAAGCGGAACCGTGGTGTTAATTTCCTGTTGCGGAGTCAAACAAGCCAGCGGGGAGAAACAAAGGCTCATGGGGGATCTTCGCCACGCCTGTCTGCTTTTATCCCTCGAATTACGTCTTTCATCGTCAAAGATGAAATGGGTATCTGCCGTTCGTGCGCGAAAGGCAATCGCGCCGTCCGAAATTGCCTTAACCCCTTCTCCATCGCGCGTGGAGCGCGATGTGTTAAATTAAGTAAAGTTTAAATAGGGATGGCACAAAACACACACATACACACACACACATACACACAGAGGTATTGAGAGGTATGGAAAATTGAGTTAGAGGCGAAGAACCGCACGCGCCGATATGAAGACGCGCCAGGCACAGCGCGCGCAAGTCGCTGGAAATTAATCGTCGCGCGCGAGCTCGCGTCCTGAGCGGAAAAACTCGTCCGATCAACGATGCATTAGTCTCCGTCGGTTTAACCCGATGCCTTTTATGACGAGGGGATTTGCATTTTTGCAAAAAAGCTCGCGTTTCGCCGAGGTAAGTTGCGATTGCAAATGCACGGACGCATATCGATGTTGTGTTAATTGGGCTGATATTTTTATTTAACAATACGCGAAAGGTGAGCGACGAAATGAAACGGTTGCGCCGGTTGTGCTTTTTTTCCTTTCTTTCTCGGAATGTAAAAACAAAAAGGAGACGACGAAACAAATAAATAGGGAGCTTTGTACAATACGCGCATTATCGTGTTTACGCGGGACAGCGCAGCGGGATATTTCGCTCGTTTATTTCTATACCTTTTAATTGCGCTCGTTATCGCATCGATAACGAATTATGCTGTCGACCTTTCTCCGCCGTCGCTCGCCGCGTTCTCCGCGTCAATTCTCCGCGCTGAATCCCGCGGATTTATAACGATCGCGTCCCCGGGACAATCGGCGGCTTTGCAGCGACAGCGGAGGCTCCGATCTCCCGGCGAAAAACAGGCGAAGACGCCGACGCAACCGCGCGCTCGACGTGCTAGAACGTCGCGGATGAGATTCTCGCTCTTAATTAAGGAAATGTAACGAACCACACTAAGGCGTCGAGAGACAAATCCGAAATGATAGCTCGCCGTTATACGTACATTTCTCGCGGAGCGAGCATTACTACGCGGTCGGACCCTTTGTCTTTCTCTCGCCCCTCTCACTCTCTCTCTCTCTCTCTCCCTCTCCCTCTCTCACTCCCTCTCTCTCTCTCTCTCTCTCTCTCTCTCTCTCTCTCTCTCTCTCTCTCTCTACTTGCGCTTCCCTGGTAGCCTCGAATTTTAATTAACTCGCGTTACGAAAAATTACGTCATTGCCTGCACGCCTGAGCGGGCACCGCGATGCTTTCGGAGGAGGTGCGGTATTGTTGAATTTTAACACAACTGAAATATATAGAAGCGCGCGCACTGGCGAGGACTCTTCCGATCTTAATTTGAATGACAAATTTACGGATTATTTCGCGCCGCTAAATTTTGCGTCGCGGCTGCAGCTTCATCGGTTCGTTTGCATACCCGAGTAGACTTTCTCGACTTTCTCAGGATTAGCGATACATGGGAGGGAATGAATTGCGCTGTGTGACGACTAAAAATCTCGCGAGCTTAGTAAAATTGTACCTATAATATACATGGGCGACTAGTTTTCCGTGTTAGAGAAAAATTAAGGGCAATTATGCAGAGATAGGGAACACCTCCCGATTTCAATGATATTGAGATATATTATCAAGGTTATTATAATAATATTATGAAGTTTTAGCATGCGCTTATTATTTGTAACAAATTTATTAATAAAAGGACTTTTTCTAAACTAAATATAAATTTTTGACACAATGTACATTTTAATATTGCAAGCAATATATGTATGAGTGAGGGAGGGATTAAGCCCTCCCCCTGTACTCCCCTCTCACTCCTAACTTAACCTAACTCAACTTCTACTTACTAGTACCTGTATAATATTTCTTCGCATGAATACTTATATGTTACATTGTACGAAGAAATATTATACAGTCACTAAAAGCAGAGGTTAGATTAAGTTGGGTTAGTTTTAGAAAGGGGGTAGAGAGAGAGAGAGAGAGAGAGAGAGAGAGAGAGAGAGAGAGAGAGAAAGGCTGCCTCGATCATACCATACGTATACCGTTTATTATATTTTAACAAACATAATGTAAATAAGTATAATAATATATAAGCTATAAAAAACACAAATGATAGTTTTATAAGATACTGCATACATTTCTATTAATTTTATATTTTATCTATTTACATTTATCTATTTACATTTTCACTTATGGGATATATAGTAGCCATTATTCCAAAGAAAGTGTCTAGTTGTTTTTCAAAATTAATCAGTAATCAAATGTTAACTGTACGACAAATTATTCTATACTGATTCATCTTTCCTAAAATATCTATTTAAAATCGTAAGAATGAAGATAAATAGAAACCTTCATTCAATAAACACTGTAACAAGTATAATATTTATACACTATATAATTACAAAATTACGTATTATTCATTGTATTTCTCTTGTTAATAACTTTGTTATAAATAACTTTGTTATAAATAATGGGTGTGGGCTAAAATTTTCATAACGTTATTCAGGATAATAATCTTGATAACATATTTAAATATCACTGAAATTAAACTTAGGGCAGTGGTCCTTAAATTTCAGAATTATATAAAAAACTATATATATATATATATATATATATTGTATATATTATGCTTAATAAGTTTGTTATAGCTTGACAGATCTGCGGGCACAATAAAAAGGCGATACTTCACTGAAACTAATAGAAAATATAGCCGAAAATATTAAACAAAACATTTCTATTGAAATAATTAATCTTTTTGCTGCATAAAAGAGAATTTAATATATTGACAGATTTTTATAGCTAATAGTTAATTATTGATAATTGATATTGATAATTGATTATTGATTGAAGCTAGTCAAAGCAACGACGCTCACAGTAAAAATTGTTTTACGTGCCAATTTGGCCAATGTTGATATATACGCACCATGCAAATTAATTGAATCATTTGTTCGTGAAACGATCGGGAATGTTTCCTCATCGTCTTTTAAAGTAGGTATAAATTTTTTGGAAAAATTAATGAAATTGTTTTTCACAAATTTGGATTAACTAAAGATACAAAAATCATTTTGTATACTACTACTAGGATAATATCTACAAAAAATAGTTTTATTTTATGAACCAGTTGACAAAATTGTCCCTACCCATTTGTTTCTACCTGAGCAAATTATAACATTTTAATCATAACACTTAATTTTTACCAGTACGCTACCTAAATAGACAAATGTAAATAATTTGGCATGAACTTTACTAGTCGATGTATCAGGTTGATACAAAAAAAAATCAATTTCTTATTTTTCTAATAAATACTCATAGGAACGTTGGATGTTAAAAGGAAGATAAGAAGTTCTTGTTAAATGTTCAAACAATATCTTCAAAACTGGGTAATTTTGTTCACTATTTTATTTGACAAGCACGACAAACTATTTGAACTAACTGAATGTCAGAAAATTAATAGCTTATACAACACATTCACATTTTTCATATAAAATGGTGACGTAGAAATATGAAAAGATGATCAAAATTTACTGAAAAAAACAACGTTATATTAAATATAATATAAAAATTTGATAGTAACTTTTAATAGGTAAACAATTATTATATGTATACGTACATTAATAATACATTTTGTACACCAACATAACAATAAAGTTTACATCATGATACCGTATAAATTTAATGATTAATTCAATATAGTATATTTTTTGTTTGACTTTCAGTATAATTGAAAAATTATAAGTTTGCCGTCGTCGACTGTCCTACGTTCTGACGATGATGAAAATTGATCCGCCTACAACTCGCTGAATCAATCAATCTACATTTTCCCATAAAAAAAAGTATCTCGGGCACTCGGCAATGTGCGCTGCGGCGCTTGCCAGAAAAATAAGCTGGCAACCTAATTTCGCACACCGATCTGCCTAGTTTTATCTCGCATGACGTCGAGTCGGGAAGATCTCCTGCGTTTTTCCCTTCCTTCGATGTGCCAAGAACTTGTTACGTGAACGAACAGAAGCAAGTGATGTAGCGGGCTGTTCCTTCCCACTTGTAACCGGAACTTCTGACTTCTTTATCAAGATAAATCGACTCTATAGAGCCGCGAACGACCCGCGGCGTCCTCGCCCTGCGCGAAATTTCAGGCATCGTCCCGCGGATTAACGAAACACCGTGGTAGCACGGATTTCCTCGCTGCGGACGGAGAGCCGGGGCTTTGGTCGTTGTTAAAGCGCGGTTACAAGACGCACGAAGCAGTCTACCGTGCCGGACATTAAACAAATATCCCCGCCATAGCGCGGATACGCGAGTTGAAGTGGCAATAAGACAAGTAGCCGAGTAAACTACCTATCTGCGGCGTGTGTAACAACGAGTGCGGCTATCTACCTACCTACCTACCTACCTGGCGCGCAAAACGAAATGCAATTGCGAGGAGCAACGCCCGTGGATACAAGCGCGACCACGTTCGCGCCGTAGAGCCGGTCTAAAGTTCCTATTATTGCTCACGTCGCTGCGGCATGGCCGATATAAATCGAGGGGCGAAGAAGGGGGAGCAGGGGAACGCTCGGGGCCTCACCCTCTGTCGCCGTCTCGCGGCGCTCTCTTCACGCTTTAATGCCTGGGAAAGTGTTGAGAACGAAAAGCGCGCGCGCGAAAAGTGGAACAGATTCGTGCGATGCAGGCGGCAATGAAAGCGGGGAAATATGGAGGGAATTTATACCGGGGACTATTCTCCGCGCGGTGCGAAACGATTCGAGGTGAGTAGTCGTGTGGGACACTACACGGCGATGCGCGCAGCACCACGGCGGTTTCCCTGGAGTACTTTTACATGGTTGTGAGATAATGGCCACATTCGCCGTAGTTATATTCTCTTTAAAGGGCGCGGCTACCTTTGCGCGTATTCGTGTGTCTCTCGCTTTCTCTTTCTCTCCTTCTCTGCCTTATATGTTTAACATTTTTATACGTACATTGTGTCGGAAAAATAAGTTCCAATTATAAAACTTCTCTTGTTGATAACTTTTTAATAAACAATAAGTGATGGCTGAAGCTTTTTGCAAGGTGGTCAAACCATGTCCTTGATGATACATGTTGAGATTATTGAAATCGATGAAGTCGACACTAATATTAACATTTACCCTTTCTCCTTCTCTTTCTCTCTTGCTGACTCCTTTTCGTTTATGCTCCCTCGCTGTCATCAAATAGGAACTAGAAATAGAAATTTAAAACATTGAAATTACTTCTCTGCAGCGGAGAGCAAACTTGAGTGGTATATTTTCGTGTTAGGTAGAAAATCGATAAGCGTCGTATATGTAACATGTACTATATATTTGTATAAATACACATTAATCTAGTTTTCAATCGTTATAACATTATGCTATTGTCTCAATAAAATTGCTGCGTTATTTTTGGCTGTTATCAACGAACATTGACCCTTTGTACTCGAAATGCCAGCATAGTTGGCATGAATATTTATTCCGGCAATTCGTAATGACAGCTGTGCTGATATGAAAAAGATTTAGAAAGTAATAAAGCAACGCCTAGGAAACATTCCGCATTTCATTTTTCAATTATGTGGAAGTAAAACTAAAGATTGAGTGTTCCAAGTTCAATATTCCCGGTGAAGGAAAGTAGGCAAGTTATTTTTGTCACACCTGTGAAAGAAAACCCGGGCTTCATCCGAGAAATTGCTTCAAACAGTATCATATTTTGAAAAACTATAAGATGTAAAATTTTACAAATTTTGTCAATTCTAATATTTTTTTTTAGCTAAAATGTAATCGTAAATTTTTCGTGACAAATTGTATTTATAATTGCCGAGTTAGTGGAAGGAAGTGTGGAAATATTTCTCTATTTAGATAATATCGTTTTTTTTATTCTGCAAAATAAGCTAAGCGGAGCACCACTGACGGTAAGAAGAGAAACGGCGGCGCAATAAATAAATTGATACGATCTTGCACTGCGAGTCATGTCATTGACGCGACGTTACAATCTAATGAACAACGTGACCCAATGAAATACGCTCGCGAGCACAGGAAAGAGAGAATCGTCATTTTAATTCGTTTGTGCCGTAGGAAGGCTCCTTCAAAGGATGCCACCGTCGCGTCGCCCCTCCCTGTCCTCGAGCTTTATTCGATTCCGTGCTCACAGAGCGATTATATCGAGCATTTCCTAGAGGGTTTTGTTTCCAATTTTAATCGGCTTTCTTCATACGCGGGGACGAAATAACGCGGCCGTGTACGCCCTTCAGTAACCGATATTGTATTCCGCGGAATAAAGAGCCGAGACTGCGAAATTGCACTTTTAATATCGCGACGGCCGCGACGGCGTCCGTATAGAAAACCAGATAGCGGATATCGGACCGTTACCGTATTAGACGTTCGATTATTCGGAACGTTGCGTCGGCTGCGGGATACTTTCTTGGCACCGAAGGAATATCGGTCGGTCGAAGACTCCCGGGGTCGCGTCCTCCTCCGGCTGAAAAGATCCGACCCGGATGGTTACATACGATATTTAATTAAGCACGTTCCGATGGATTCTCTCTCGCGAGTCGATGTCCCCGGATGAACCAGTTTCTTGGACGCCGGAGTCGAGCGCGTTCCTCGGCGCATCCGTTGGATACACTTATCGGCGGATCATCGATGCTCGTTAACGAATATTACAATAACGCGATTATGAAGGAGCATCGGCGAGGAAGAACAGAAAAGATATCGCGACCGAAAGATGAGGTAGAGAGGGGGGAAGAGAGGCGTACAGGTAATGGCCGGTGCATTTCTCGGAGGATTAGCGTATCGGCGAGTTGCGCGCGTAAGCTGTTTATGCAATCCGTTTCTGATAAATTTCCGAGATATCCGCTGAATGACCTTTTCCTTTAGGTCGCGTCGCCTCGCGGAGCGCACATGCTCGGTTATTGCCAGTTGGCAGCCGAGGAGCGGCGATCAAACGTCAAACAGTCGCCGCGAGAGCGAGCGGAAACGTGCGCGCTGCCATGGGACGGCGTGTCCTTTTTATTATCGATCTTACGGCCGCGCCGGTGAAATAATTAAAATTCGACACTGTACGATTACGATAAGATAAATAAGGCGATGTGTAACGAACAAAGATAAAACGCGGCGCCCGGATTTCGCCCGCAAGCGCGTGATGTGTGTATGTGTGTGTGTGTGTGTGCGTGTATGTGTGTGTGAAATCCGCGCGTGGAGATCTCGATGAAGTGCAAAGTAATCTCCGACGGTTTACTTATTCATTCCTCAATGTTTACTCTCCGCGCGGACTTTCTAGTTTTATCACGAAGGGTATCGCGCGATTTCTTCTTTCTTTTTTTCCTCCTCCCCTGCCCCCCTCTTTCTCTTTCGTGTATGTATACGTGTGTGTGCGCGCACGTGTATCGTACGAATCAATATTTACGCGCGAATGCATCCGCGCAAATCATCCGTTCTCCCGCGCGCGGCTCCCCGCGCTCCTTCAAGCGCGCCATGAAACGCATAAACAAAACTCGCGCGTCTCGTAATCGCGCGAAAAGCCGCGGTCTCGCGCGTATCATAAAGCGGGATGTCGGTCGCGCACAAATCACAGGCGTCGGTCTCAATGGAACATCGACCTATTTCGCGCGCGAAAAAGCGAATGGCTCGCCGCCGCCGTCACCGGCCACCGCGCCATCCGCGATCGATTATCCACGGCGTGTGCCGGACGACCGTCAAATACATACAGACATAACACACTCGGTGTATCGAATTCGAATCACACGTCGCACACTCCAGCGCGCGCAACTGCCGGACCGCGGCGAGGTCGCTGCCGAATAACGTAACGGCGTGTCGGCAGCAGCGCGCGGCTGCCGCCGCGCTGACTGGTAAATTTCATTACGCTTTGTAGAGCCATTAATCGTCGGTTGCGCCTTTATCGAGCGCTTCGCGCTCGAGTGGACTCGTCATCGTCGCTCGGAAATCGCCAAGAAGAAATCCTAGCCCGATCATTGCGGACGAGCGAGGGCGTGCGCGCTTCGCGCCTGGGCGCTTGCCCGTGCGATCAGAGCAATATTGTCGCAAGAGAGAAAGGAGAGAGGGAGAGAGAGTTCGCCGCAGGAAAAACTTTTTAATCTCTCGGGCGAGCCGGATGAGCGGGCGCTTCTCGACTTGACACACCGCGTTAAAGCATCGCCGTGAGAACGTGGAGATGCCGTTTCCAGGAGAATTTTCGTCGAGATTTTGTGACGACGTCGCCTCGCTCAACGCTCTCGTCTCGCGAGTCTCTCTCTGCCTCTCTCTCTCTCTCTCTCTCTCTCTCTCTCTCTCTCTCTCTCTTTCTTTCTTTCTCACTATGCATTCTTCCGTTGTGTCCGTGTTCGGTTAATGATACAAGTTTCTGCATTTTCAAAGTATTTTGCGCGACTTAGGGCTGTTCAATATAAATATTTGCACGCAAAGCGTATATTTTATGTTCCTTTTCTTCTTGATATAACAACGCGTCCTTATCATATATTAGACGTACAAATGAATAATTCAAACTTTTTAAGCAACTAAGAAATTCAGTTTCAAATAATCAAATTTTCTCATTCTTTTACGGTTATGTAGTGTTGACATTACATTTAGTGTGACGGGAGGTTCAACATAACCTCAAAAATTATTCAGTTCGTTATAGTAGAAAATGGCAACAGATAAGGTGCATATCCGACGCTGCATTCTTTACGAATTCCAACAAGGAAGAAATGCTGCAAGAGCATGCGAATCGATTTGTTCCTTTCTCGGCGAAGGTGCTGTATCGTACGATGTGTGTGCATTTTGGTTTAGATGGTTTAAAACGGCGATTTCAGTCTGAGTGACAAAGAACGTTCTGGAGGCCCTCAAAAGTGTGGCAACAATGATTTGGAGCAACTGCTCGCTGAGAATTCAGCACAAACGCGAAAAGAGCTTGCAGAGCAATTAGGAGTGACGCAACAAACTATTTCCAAACGCCTACACGAGATGGGAAAGATTCAGAAAGAAGAAAAATGGGTTCCGCATGAACTCACTGAAGCCAACAAAAATCAACGAGTGGCAGTGTGTCTTTCTCTTCTCAATAAGCAGCGTCGAAAGTCTGTCTTATGGAAAATTGTTACAGGCGATGAGAAGTGGATATTCTATGACAATCTGAAACGCAGAAAGTCGTGGGTAAATCCCGGTGATCTATCAACATCGGTCGCAAAGCCAAAATACTTCGGAAAGGAGATTCTGCTCTACATTTGGTGGAATATGAAGGACGTGATTTATTATGAGCTATTAAAACTGAATAAAACAATTATAGCGGACCACTACCAACACCAATTAATCCGTTTAAGTCAAGAATTAGAACGAAAACGCCTGTACAGAGTGGCAAAGGAGAACGTCTTGTGAAATTATTGCATGATAACGCTAGGTCACACATTGCTTCTACGACAAAAGACGTCACAATAATAATTATCTTGCTTAGGACGTCTTGCAGCACTCGGCATATTCACCAGACATCGCTCTTACCAACCTTAGCACTTGTTCCAGGTGATGCAACATGCCTTGTCCGATGCGCACTTCAAAGTAGTGAATGAGATCTGAAAATGGCTTTGACGACTTTATCGTGTCCAAAGACACTACATTTTTTCGACATGGAATTCATCAGCTGCCTGAAAACTGGCTTAAAGTTATAGAAAACAACGGGTGAATACTTTGATTGACAAATTTGTTTTACTTTCTTTTAAAATAAACCTTGAATTTAGCTGAAAAATTTTGATTATTCATTTGTACGTCTAATAAATTGTCCTGCGCTTAAAATATAGGCTATTTATAACAACATTCTTCATACAGTTGACTCTTAATTTTCGCACGGCTTTAGGCACAGGTAGCTCATTGTGCTTTGCTTTACTGTAAACTCTAAAGGGTTTCTTGTTCCAGAGTGTAAATCAACTCTCTCTCTCTCTCTCTGTCTCTCCCTCCTCTCTTTCTCTCTCTCGCGCGGCGCTGAAACCGCGCTCGAAATGTCACGTCGTTCGAAACATCAAATAACGAGCCGCGACTCGTCGTTTGAGAAGCCCGTATTATCGAGACACGCGGGTGTGCGTCGCAGGCGCGGTCGGGGCGAACGATGTGCAAGTTACGAGGCGCAATCGTGCGCCACGGGGAAGCTCGCGAAGCTCGAGTTCTCCAATCTACCGTGCGCGCGAGGAACTCGCGCTTGTTTCGGCGAGACGTAACCCGGAAGACGTGATTGGAAATGTAGAGCAGACCCGGTACCAAGAACTCGCTCGACATTACAAATGCTTCGAGGTGTCAACTAAACCAATCTGATTGGTCTATCCGTCGCTTTGAAGCATTTGCAACTTTAAACAGATCCCACGCCAAGATCCGCGCGCGCGCGCGAGGTCTTTGGCACGTTTGAAAAACGCCGGAATATTATTTCCATCTCTACCTCTCTTTTCCCTTTATTTCTCTCGCTTTTGGCGCAGCTATCATCTCCCTTTCTCCCCTTTTTCTTCTATCATATCTCTCTCTCTCTCTCTCTCTCTCTCTCTCTCTCTCTCTTTCTCTTTCTCTCTTTTTTTCTATTTTTCTCTTTCTTTTTCGGCGTTCCAGCGAGAACGCGCAGCGCTCACGCCACGTTGAAACGATAGGGAACTTTTTTAATCTTCGGAGCGCGAACGAGCAGATGCTTTCACGACGACGGTTTCCCGACTTGACACGCCGTGTTAAGAGCCGCCGTCGCGCGTCGAGGGATGAGAGAAACGCGCTCTCGCTCGTCTCGTCTACGAGACGCGCGTCGGTCCACTTTCTCTCTCTCTCTTTCTCTCCCTCTCGCTCTCTCCCGTTCGCTCGCTTGCTCGCTCTCGATGTCGCCGCCCCCCCTTAGGATTCCGGAGGGCCCTGGACGTCGGAATGACGTGTCGGTGGAGATTTCGTTCCGGATGCCGGGAAGTACCCGAGAAGCCTGAATAACCGACGGAGGCCGCGCCGCGAGACGCATTACGTTCGCCAAGTATATACCCCGTAAGATCGTAACTAGACGCGGGTTACTACGAAGGGCACATGTCGAGCATGAAAATATCATTTTTAATGCCCCGTCGGAGATGCGTTTACAACCCCGACATTTATCCCCGCTCTTCCGCAAGCGAGACGCGCATTCGCTTGTCTGCGTTTCAGACGCGGCTGCGCTTCACGCTCAGTGATCATTCGCTAACTTTTCTCTCATCGCTAAAGGGATGCCAAAGTGGATGACGAACCCCAAAAACATCTATCTATATCGAAGAGATGACCGTCAAATGTATCAAATAAGCACCGATACGATTGTGTTTTCTTTTTTCGTATTTCTTCTGCACCGAATTTCGAAATGGTTTGCAATTTTTTGTTCGGACACAGTTTGGAAGCAATCGACGCTCCAATGACTCGAAAACTTGTTTTTTATTAATTTTCAGAAGTGAGGTCTTTCATTGGACCATCGACTGCGTCCGAACTATATGAAAAAAAGAAATGTCCAAACCGCTTCGAACAGCAGCGTGTGCACGTAGCTCTTTTTTAATTTATGTTGCTTTGTGTTATCACATTCAGCTGGAAATATACCGATGCATATATACAGGGTGTTCAGGATCTTTTGGAAACGAAAAATTGTGAAGATTAATCAGATCAAGCTGAGAAGAAAAGTCACCATTTTGCAAAAATCGCAATAGTTATTAAATTATTAATGATTGAAAATGATCACATTAAAGGTCCTTTTAATTGATAAGTTGAAAATTTACTTATCTGCAAAATGGTAAAGAACTTCTTTGTTCAGAATGACTTAATCTACAATTATGTACCCGCTATTGTTTCTAGCGATAGATATGAGCATATTGAACTTTGAATCCTGAATCTTGAACCTGTCGTTTGAAGGCGCATATGGCCATTACCACTTCGCAAATAAGTACGCAAATTTTCAAATTGTCAATTAAAAGAGCCTCTAGATGTGATTATTTTCAATTATTAATAACTTAATAGTTATTGTGATTTTGGCAAAATGATACATGACTTTCCTTTTCAGTTTGATTTGATTAATTTTCGTAATTTTTCCAAAAGATTTCGGATATCCTATATATATATATATACAGGACATTTCATTCATTTTGATCTGTTCTACTCACATACGTGCTTGTTATGTGTTATAACAGGGATACAAAATTGTTGACAAAAATTTCTTTTTTTATACGATATCTCCGGATAAATAGTTTAGTAATAAAAAGAAATCGGCAAACGCTAATGTACTATGTTAAAAGTTCTCGTCTGATCATTGAAGTTAAGTAGTGTTGAGCGCGATTAATACTTGAATGGATGATGACTTTGGAACACCGTCTATAGTTAACATAATTTCTTTTTTGTCATTACTTAAGGATCTTTTACAATTATTATATATTTGTTTAGCACACATGGCCATTATATTTTCCAAACTATAATTTTTAAATAGGTAATCAAGTAATTGAGTAATAAACGGGATTACTGTTAACACTTATAACTTTTTCTTTCTTCTTCAAAATGTTTCAATGATATTTTACAATTATCTTATGTTTACCTGATGTATATCCAATACTTATCTGTTGTACAATTCTTTTCGAATGATTACTTCAGTAAATCGAAGAGATGGGATGAGTGTCAACAGTCATATCACGTTGAAAATATCAATTCTCGTTCGATCACTGCAGTTGAGCAACGTTGAGCACGGTTAGTACCTAAATGGATAATCTAGACGGTATTCCCGCTTGGGAATACCGTGTTGGCATCATTCTTTTTTTTTTGCCTTTTCTTGAAGATCCTTTACAATCATTGCGTAGTGGTTTAGCGGTGTGACAATTAAATTTTCTAACCTGT